CATGGTCAGGTTTTATAGCCGAAAGCTGTCACGGTCCGGGATTCATCGTTGGGCAAGAATCCGAACTCCTGAACACAGCGAAGGCCTCTCTTCTGGGCAGTTGGGAGCTACATGCCGTTCCAACCCAAGCAGGTGCTGGAAGGGTTCCTTTCGCCGGCTCAGCCCGTGCTGGCGGCCATTATCATCGTGTGTACTGTAGTCAAGGGTCGGGCACAGAGCTTGCATCGCCCTGGCCAGATGGTCAACACTACCACGGCTTCAAATCAGCGCTTTGCAGACCCGGCAAATGCAGCCAACTTCACCGACGCTGCCGTCCCTGCAGGGGCTGCGGCCACATTTGAGGAGGCCTGCACGAAGCCCTACACCGAAGAGACATGTGAATACGATACTTCAGGGCCCGTCGTTCAAGCACCCTTCGTGAAGCCAGAGGCTCTACGGCTCAATGGCTATGGCTATCGGACCACAGAGAGATAGGGCACGGTGTTGGCTTGGAGAATCCTGAAATTGACCATCTCGCCTCACGCGCCGTAAAAATCCCGAAGCTTCAGTCCTTCAAGCTCCGAAGCACATGTCTGCTTAGAGGTCTGGTCCAAGATTGAGGAGGTGCGCGCCTCCCGAAAGCTCACGGAGGCAGACGTGGCAGAAGCGCGACGCGGCAGCAGCGCCTGTCATGTGGGTCCAGGCATTCAGACGCTTAGGACTTGGGGCTTAGGATTGTCAGATTTTGGAACTTCTTGCTTGCACTTCCGGATGAACTTCCACGTTTCGAGGGAGAGAGAGAGAGAGAGAGAGAGAGAGAGAGAGAGAGAGGAATGTGGTCCGCGTATGCTTGTTGATTGCTTTGGACCGGAGCATACCGGAGCCTCAGAGTGCCAACACAACGTAGAACTGCAACACATCAGTTTTTGTAAGACCAAAAGTGACCCTGCAGAGTGCTGTTGAGCTCTCAAACAAGCCCACGCTACCCATGAGTCAATCATGCATCTTGGGGGCGCTTCCTTGCGGCCTCTAGTGCTCGTTCGACACCGTCGGGGCAACGCGGCAGTCCTTGCGGGAGGAGGAGACACGGCCCTGTGGAGCCGGGCGGCATGAGGAGTGTCGGCCTGGTTGCTACTGCGATCCCACTCCTTGGTTTGCGGGGGGCTGATTCCAAGCATCCAAGCAAGAGGCGGGGGTCCCCTCACGGAGGGTTCGCCCCTCAAGCCGGGTGAAAGGAGGAGTGCGGTCCGAGTCTCTGAAGCTGTCGGAGCTGAGGTGGTCTTCGCTCGGCCCAGGCCAGGTGCGGGTGGCGCCGCTGACCGCAGAGGTGGGGAAGCCGTGGGAATTGCAGAGAGTGTACCAAGTGGGAATGCGCAGCCAGAAGTCTCAGCAGAAGCGCTGAAGGTTTGCGGAGATCACTGTGTGGCCTTGGACGTGCGCGGCGCCTGCGCAGCTTCAGCTGTGATATGGGCAGGAAAGTATGAAGGCACAGGAAAGGTGAGGTTTCGCAGTCTCGGGAAGTCCAGGTTCTGTGATTCAAGACTTGAGTGAAGAAGTTGTTTTGCTCTCGAGTCGGTTTAGTAGCCGTCTTAGTCTTATTGTTCGTGTTGCGGCTGCTTCCACAGCCAGTGCTGCCACTTGGAGCATGCTTGTTGGCAGGAATCCCATCAATGCACGGTTGCGATCTTTCGGCTTCCCGTAATGTAGTTGATGAATGACTCCCTGAATAGTGAGGAACCACAACAGGTGTCCCAATATCAAGGCCTTCAGATATGAGGAGTTTCTGATCCAGCCTTCTACATCTGTTAGCAGGAGCATGGGGATGATCGCAGGCACTGAACCTAGTACTTCTGGACGCGCCACGAGTCACCACGAGATGTCGAGGTCTGTCTCAAAGATCATGCTCCGCTTGGAGCTTCTGAGCTTGCTCTAGTCGTTTAAGCTGTCGTATGGAGACGGATCGCAGTGGAGGGTCTGCATGCTGGAGTTCTGCATAAGCCTTGGCATGTATCGCACGACACGGTCATGGACATGACAGTCTTGCACAAGGAGTAGAGAAAAGAACAACTCGGACATACGACAGCTGCACAAATGGTCTAATGTTGCTGGATCACCACATATCACTGTCGCAACAGAAATAGCAATGCAGACGCGCCAGACTTATTCGCGATGGTGTGCATTGGGATCTAAGCAGTCGCAGAGAGCTAAAGCAGCAACTGAAATTCCTGATCATTGTTGCCTGAGTAACCATGAACAGTTGACATGAGCAGGAGAAATTCCCTTACTCACAGCTTGTGCCGCGCGAAGCACGATGGTACGGTAGCCATGTCTCAGCAGCAACAAAGTCTTCGCACAGCAGAAGCAGAAACAATCGCCGTGATATTGGAGACGACGGTCACTGTCGCCGTACTTACAATACTCGGACATCTTGACTTGTTTTTGATTCTGCTATGACCGTCTCCACTTGATCTGCATGGCAGTGGTCAGGGACTTTCGTCCTTCGGAAGTCAGCTGCTTTCATGTGCTCGTATGCTTGGAGCCTCCGGCGCCAGCCTTCTCTTCTCTTCACTTTTGCTTTCCTAGCTTTGGATTTCTGAGGGGCGCGTTCATACCTTCAGATCTCCCGCGTTGCGTTCGGCAGCCCTTTGCAGCTGAAGAGGAAGCCGAAGCCTGGGTTCATGACCGCCTTGGTCTCTCTTCCATCGGGTGCAGTACAGAGAAGTCCCGAATCAGAGGTAGCGTTGACGATGCCTAGAGTCGGAAAACATGTTCTGTGCATACGTGTGGAGGGCAGCAGTCTAGGCTCTATAGTAAGGTTGTGCGCACAGTCTCTCAGATGTCATTACCGCCCCAGTGATTGGATCTTGCAAAGCCGCTCAGAGCGCAAGTCTTAGGCACATGGCCAGCATATAGCATCACGTGGAGGACATACAGACCGGGTCAATCGCAAAAAGTCTCGCAGGCCCGTGGAATGTACGGTAAGAGCAAAGTAGCCCCTTCCTACGGTCTCAATTGGCACCTGCAGCAACACGGAAGCTGTAACTGCATATGTCTCACCACTTAGTAGTGCAACAACAACTACTACTACGACTACGACTGTGACGACGACGACGACTACTACTACTAGTGCTGCTGCTGCTACTACTACTACTACTACTACTACTACTACTACTACTACTACTACTACTACTACCACTACTACGCTGCTACTACTATTACTACTACTACTACTACTACTACTACTACTGCTGCTGCTGCTACTACTGCTGCTAGTACTACTACTGCTACTTCTCCTTCTGCTGCTGCTGCCACTGCTTTTGCGACTACTGCTGCTACGCCGCTGCTTTTACGACTACTGCTGCTACTACTTCTAGTATTGCTGCTGCTACTAGTACTTGTACTAGGATTAGTACTAGAACTAGTACTAGCATGAGTACCAATGTTGTTGTAAGATAGAACGGGTCCCGCAAAGACTACAACGCCACCCGCGGAAGGACAGATAGTGTAATGTGGCGAAAACACGCTGCGGAAGGGTTCTGCGGAAGCAAGTGGTTCCAAGAGCCGCGCGGAAGCACCCTTGCGCACTGCGGAAGGGATGCGGAAGGGCTTCGCGGAAGGGGGATTAATTTCCTTTAGCTGTTGGTTGGAATACAAACCAAAGCTCAAGTGCTAAGAACAACTCCCACAACTTACCAGGCTCGCCGTCCAGCTCCGGCGCCGCTGCTTGCGCTTGCAGGCACGACGGTTTAGGGTTTAGGGTTTGTGCCAGAAATCCTCATCCTGCGCGCCAGGGCTCGAGAGACCAACTACGTCAAGAGCTTCGGGATGTGTCTCATTCCGCCTCCATTTTGGAGGAACGGAGGGGGGGAACATCAGCTTCACCAGCATCACACTGGACATTGCATCACCCGCGGCTCAGGCGTATGCTCGTGAACGTCACGGATTGTGAGGCCGGCGCCCTCAGAGCAGTGCAGTGTGGTCGCTTTTGGCAACTTTCGATGTCCCGCGCATTGTGAGCGAAACCGTGTGCCTCAGATGCATTATGTGAAAACAGACCCATTTAGCAGCGCGTACAGTGTGTGTACCTAATGTTTTGTGCGCTTTTTGACCGCACTCCCTGACCGCAGGACTACTACTACTACTACTACCACCACTGCTACTACTGCCACTACCACTCCTGCTAATTCTACTAGCCCTGCTTCTCCTACTACTTCTACTAACTACTCCTATTAACAGTCGTGATCCTACTGCGCCCCGGGCTTTTGCCTCTCCTCCTCCACCACTACTACTATACCACTGCCACTACCAGGACCACGACCAAGACCCCCAAGGCCAAGGCCAAGGCCACAGCCACCGCCACCTCCACCACCGCCGCCCCACCACCGCCACCCCTACCGCTACCCTTACCACTGCCACTGCCACTGTCACTGACTATACCACAAAACAACTACACCACCATACCCATACCACGGTACCACGGTACCACGGTACCACGGTACCACGGTACCAAGGTACCACGGTACCACGGTACCACGGTACCACGGTACCACGGTACCACGGTACCACTGTACCACGGTACCACGGTACCACAGTACCACGGTACCACGGTACCACGGTACCACGGTACCACGGTGCCACGGTGCCACGGTGCCACGGTGCCACGGTGCCACGGTGCCACGGTGCCACGGTGCCACGGTGCCACGGTGCCACGATGCGACGGTACCAAAGTACCACCGTGCCACCGTACCACCGTACTACCGTACCACCGTACCACCGTACCACCGTACCACCGTACCACCGTACCACCGTACCACCTTATACCACCTTGCCACCGTACCACCACCACTACCACGACGACGACGACTACTGCTAAGGCAAACACAAGTACCGAAACAAAAATGAATGCCAAGCAATCCTGGATCCTAATGCAATGTTGTACGAGTACCTACCAGTTTTGGCGTTGTACTACTCCGGCTGTCATCACTGCCATTCCGGTTGTGGACGGGTTAAGACTCGTGGCCATGGTGTGGCGATTCTCTTGCCGGCTGCGACGGAGAGCAGCTTGCCTGGCCGCCGTCTTTGTGTGGGCGACGACGCAGGTCATTCGAAAAACTGCGCTTGCTCGAGGGAAGCCTTGTACAGGGCTGCACAATGGCGGGCCTCGAAGCATATCCATGAGCTGTTCAGATTCTCCTCGTCAGCCACGTGGCGGAAACCTCACCGCCCTGGAGACCGAGGAGTTCCGAGCCAGTAACTTTACAAGGCTGTCGTTCGGGTGTAGGTCTGCGTGATGCTGATGGACAGCATGCAGTGGAGGTCTTCGCGGCGCATCCCTCCTACTAAAGTCCTGTTCATGTCGAGTTTCGTAAGTGGCGCACAAACCCTCGCCTGCTGATTTCGCAAGAGCCTCAAAGCCAGTCCAGCATGCAGGAAGACACGTGCCGACTTGTCCTGGGGTCAATATGGCCTTTGGGCAATGTGGCATCCCGACTGCCGTGAGAAGTTGGAGAACGGTGCACAGAGCAAGCGTGCCGTTCGGAATTTTGTCGTCTTTGGAGGACTTGAGGGTGTTGTGCATCAGGAGGGGAAGTTGGACGGGAGACCAAGGACCGCGTGTGTGTGTTCTTGTCGACAGATGTGAGATGCGGCATGATGCACACAGCTGCGGCAAGAGGCTCGTTGACAAGAGCTTAGGTGAGGTGTCTCGCTCTGCTCGTGAGAGTCCTAAGGAGTACGCTGACATCTTTGGGTGCCCGCAACATCATTACGGTGTTGTGTCTCGGCTCAGTCTGCAGAGCGGAAGGTGTCGGTAAAGCCCCAAAGCGCAGTTGTCGTCCAAAAGCTCGAGCTTTCCGAAGGGAATACAATCCCCTGTCATGTCCACTCTCACAGCTGTAGCAGGCAGGGGATGCTGCCTCAGCTGGCCAACACCACCTTCTATTTTTCCGCCGCAGACTTCCCGGCTGTGGAGGGGCTCGTGGCTCTTACGATCGACGACGGCATTTGTCGAGGTGAGTGATTCTCGATGTTTACTTGGCTTGTAGGGCATTGGCCCACATCTGGAACTTCGAACCGACAACCCCTGAAGCAATCCCGATGTTCAGGCGGCAACTGGTCAGCCTCACTCCTTCCAGAGGTGAGGTGGGGTCGAGTTGAGGATTCGGTGTGGTCTGAGCGAAGCATGCTATTTGTGGCCTGAACCCAACACCAACCTACATTCCTACGCAGTCCCCTTCCTTCGTAGCCTCCCACTTAGCACACCCGAAGGTCCTGGAGCTGCTGGCCGGCAGCTCTGCAAAAGCCACCTTCTTCCTGAGCCCCTTCACTGCTCTTCATTGGGTTTGTGCGAATGATTGCGGGACCGTCACCGCCCGAACTGCGGTTACCCGCACGCCAAGTTGGTGATTCAATCTGAACTCTGGCGCCCAAGCCCAAGTTTTTTTTCGTCTGGACCTGCCCGGAGGCTCCCACTACGTTCGGCCAAAGGACCTTAGGAGGCGAGGCATCTACGGGCTAGAGCAGCTCTTGCAGTAGCAGCGTCAATGGTTGTGTTTAAGGTGTTTGTTTGTACGTGTAGCGAATAGTGTTGGAGACATTTGTCCGCTCCACCACTTGCATGGGGCACTGAAGCCATGCGAATATCGCGCATTTCAGGCGATAGTGTGGTGATGGACTTGAGAATATCTGCTACTGCAACAGAAATTCAAACGACAGCAGCACAGCTCCGTAAATCCACAGAAGCAAGGGGCTAGTCGTGACACTGTGAAGGCTGGTCTCTCACGGACACGAGCTGGCGAACCACATGCCCGAGGACCTTGGGCTGCTGTAAGTACTGCTCCTAGCATGGCTCTGCATGGCACGTGTCTGGTGCCCAGATACGGCGAGCAGATCGTGCGTTAAGCTGAAGAGACTCCTAAGACCTATGAGCCTGCACCATGCTACAGAGTGGCTCCCATGAGCCACTTGCCTGTTATTGTGGTCGTTCTCGAAGCGTGCGTGTGTGTGTGTGTGTGTGTGTGTGTGTGTGTGTGAGTGTGTGCTGCATTTTTTGGAGGACCGAGAATATGCCTCGTGGCCAATGGAAGAGTTCCGGGAAGCCCTGGACGAGACGGACTGTTATGATTGAATGTCAGCTATCACGTAGTGGAATCCCAGTTGTTGTTTGCATCCACAGTCAAAATATGAATCGCTAAAGCCGGCCATTTCTTGGGTTCGGAGAGGCAGTCCATCTAACGCACCACTGCTTTGCGGATGCTTTCCTTTGCGGATGCTTTCAAGCTAAGGGCTCCTGGCACGTGGCGCGCGCGCAAACACAAACGGTCTCTCACCTTGAGTGGGGGCGAAGTTTGGCCGCTGTTCCGCAACGGGCACCCAGCAACGCTCGGCTCCCGCAGTGGCGCAGTGCTTTTTTGGACAACAGCAGCGTTCTTTTCACAGTCATGCCACAGTGCCGTGCACACAAAGAGGTGTTTTGGGCTCGAGATCGTGCTGTCGCCGTTGTGTGTTCCCCGGCCGACATCGTGCAGTATGGCTGCGACTCGTGCCGCCGAGCCGCCGGGTGCGCCAGCAGCCAAGTCCCGTCACCCTGAAAAAAGAGAAGCAAAAGGCTCCCCAACTGTAACCCAGACTACACACGCGCATGTTTTGGAAAGTCTAATCTAATCTCATGTTGACACCGCCACCGCCTGTTGAGATTGAAGAAAAATCCGCACCAGAACTGTTTAGGGCTGACAGTGTGACACGGAAAGACACCAACACACGAAAGAGCACGACAACACGCAGAATAACGTTACAACACTCAGTTGTGCGGAGTTTCCGGGTTCAGGCATGTTAAACAAAATGTCGAACATCCTTGTCATCAGCAGTGTAGATTCATGGTTTGATTTTGGAATGGCTTGCGGTTTCTTCAGCCGCTGTTCTGCCGGTTGAGAAGCAGTTTTGGAAGCAGTCGGCCTGCCATGAACGATTCATTCATGTACTGCTCTGTCCATCGAAGCCTTGGACAGACTCCTTTAGCTTAGCATGTTGACAGGGCCTTCCAATATGACAAAGAGCTCGGGACAAATCGAGTTTTCGATGGCCCAACGTAAGGTATGTGCAGACAGTGAATGTTTTCCTGTGCGCTCCTCTTCGTCGCTGCTGTTCGGCTTTAGCAGCCGACGCAAAGTGGCGGTTGTATTTCCGCGAGAGTCAAGCCATACCACGAGCCTAGGCCATGAACCCAAGGGGCTCGGCAACGTGCTTTCAGGACGCAGTGCTGCGACCATTTATGCGAGCGGATGCACGCCATTGGTTCCGCGCCCCCCAGGCATCCGGTGGGGCAGAGAAGTAAGGGCCTAGTCTTTTTAACACGGCCACGAATCCTCAAGAACCCAAATCCCGACGAACACCGAAGCCGGTCAAGTCTCGGACCTGCGTTTTTTTGTCCATGCAGGCGCGGCTTACATCTGATATGGCCGTCGTTTTGCAGGCAGGGACTTTGACTGGGCCTTCGAAGAAGCTTTCACGGACTGGTGTCTCCAGAACGGGTAGTTCTAAAGTACGGGGACTTCATCACTTGCAGGATGAGGGCTTGTCATGCAGCTCTCCGAGGCCAAATCAGTCTCGATTTTCGATTCTGCTCTGGCTAAGTGCATGCCCATGTCCATGTCCATGACGGTTACAATCGCCTTGCTAAGCGGGCAGACGGTGCCTGTTGTCGTGCAGTCGAATGCAAGTGGCGATGAGCTGAAGAGCCGGGTGCAGCATGCATGCCAAGTTGGAATTCGGGACATCGTCAGCCAGCAGGGAAAGCTTGTGCAGGGCAGTGGCAAGCTATGCGACAAAGGCATACAGGACGGCGATGTTCTCACCGCGACTGTGCACGGGACTCGGGTTGTGACACGCTTCGCTTCTTTGGAGTACCCCACGGGCCCAGCCAAATGGGGCTCGGTGTTTGCCGCCATCCGTCACGATGGCCATGTTGTCTGCTGGGGCAACCAGCGGCAGGGTACCAGCTACAAACGTGTGCACGACAAACTGCAGCATGTGCTGGAGATTGCTGCAACCGAAGAGGCGTTTGCTGCAATTCGTACTGATGGCTCTGTGGTGACTTGGGGTGACTCAGAGGGTGGTGGCGACAGTTCTGCAGTGCAAGACCAGCTTGTCTCTGTGAGAGCGATAAAGGCGACGGCGGCTGCTTTTGCTGCACTCTGTGCAGATGGCCACGTCGTTACATGGGGTTGCGAGAGCTTCGGAGGAGACAGCGCAGCAGTGCAGAAAGACTTGCAGGACGTGGTGGAAATGAGTGCGACGGAAGGGGCTTTCGCTGCCAGGAGATCTAACGGGACGGTCGTGACCTGGGGCCGTCCATGTGACGGTGGTGACAGTCGCACAGTGCAACACCTGCTGCGAGAAGTGCAGCAAATCACAGCTCGCGCCGGTGCGTTTGCCGCTCTATGCTCTACGGCTGAGTTGGTGGTTTGGGGCTCAACGCAGGCAAAGATGTTGCGGAGCGTGAAAGTGGTACGTGCCTCTTGGGGCTCTTTTGCTGCGATACGGCTGGACGGGACTGTTGTGACATGCGGCCAGGCAGCCGACGGTGGTGACAGCAGTGCTGTGCAAGAGTTGCTGGTTGGCGTGCAGGACATCCAGGCTTCAGCCAGTGCCTTTGCTGCACTGAGGTCTGACAGACGTGTAGTAGCTTGGGGTGATGAGGAAAACGGATCGGACTGCACCGCAGTGCAGACCCAGCTGCAGAACGTGCGCCAACTCCGATCCACCTGGTCCGCTTTCGCTGCACTACGTTTGGATGGCCGGGTAGTAACCTGGGGCTCCTTAGATGATGGCGCGGACATCAGCTCCGTCGAACAAGAGCTCGTGGATGTGGTCGAGGTCGTGGCGACAGCTGCTGCTTTCGCAGCTCTTCGATCAGATGGGTCTGTGGTGACCTGGGGAGACGCAGAGTACGGTGGAGACTGCAGCATGGTGCAGCACCAGCTGCGGAACGTCAGCGAAATCACCGCGTCCTGGCGTGCATTTACTGCGATCCGGGCTGATGGACTCGTCGTCGCATGGGGGAACCCAGAAGATGGAGGTGACACCAGCTTGGTCCAAGACGAGCTCGCCAGCTTTCGCTACGGTGATGACAAGGGACCGATGTAGTCACAGACGTGCATGCCTTAAATCCGCCACAGACAGCTACAGCCTGAAAAGTGCAGAGCGACGGGCTGTCAGGCAACAGCACATGCAACAGTCGCTGACTCGAACTGTTTCGCTATTTGCAATCAGCTTCATGACACGGAGCAGAGCTCATGGCAAACCACTTGGCCATCTCTGAAACTAAATCTGAAGCCCTTGCCCGACTCAGGCCAGAAATATGTCCCACGCCCTCGGAGCCTCCCGGCTTTGCAGGTCAGCAGGAGATTTTTGAAGCCGACTTGGGATGTTGAGGGCCCCGGGTTTATCTGGGTTCAACGTCCCGGGCTGGGAAAGCCGTGCTGTGCAGCTCATCTTCTCTCACTGCATGATCACCGAGCAGAAACTCCGAGACCTCAACGCACCGAGCTATACAAGCCCTACTGAGCCTGCTTACTCTTGCGCTCCACTCTCCCAGCGGTGCAAAGACAGATCTTAAACGTGCACGACCAAGCTTGTAGCACTTCGTAGCTAAATGGCAGCTTAAGGATTGCTATGCCGACGACTGGGCCATTCCTGATGCTTTGAGGGTGGCCTCAGTTCTCCTGCGCCAGGTGGTTTGACTCAAAGTTTGGAGGCATTAACCTTCTAAAGGAATTTTTGTGGATGCCTGCTGGGTAAGGTGCAGTCTGGATCGGCACCTTAGCTGGACAGAAAATTAATCTGCTCGCGCTGCGTCTCGATGTGCCGAATGCCGCCACAGCTTCTTAACATCCGAGTGCGGATGGTCTAGTCGCTACATTCGCAGATACTAGCAGCAGTGCCTCATGCATCTCCACCCAGTTTCTTTCATTCACCGTGTAATTTCCTTTTCGAGGGCAGCGCCGGTCCAACTAAAGAACTGTTAGTGGAGTTTCTCTCAGGTGGCGGTCCTTCACATGCCGCAGCGGGGCTTCAGACAGCACACCTTAGAGGCTTCCGTGTCGTCCTCCTTGAGCTCAAGTGTCAGACGGGTCCCGGATGCAGGTCTTGCGGCACTTCCTCCAGGGCCTGGCAAAGCGTCAGCTGCGAGCGGTGACGCTGAGCCAGCTTGCCGATGCCGCGCTGGCAGGGCGTCAGCCAGAGGACCAAAAGTGTCTCATGCCCGCGTTGCTTCTGTCGTGTTGTTGGCCACGCTTTGTTGCTGATTTCACTAGCATCGATGCAAACATGGATTTTGCAGCAAGGGCTGCCCATTGTTGTCATCCCAATTGCCCCTGCTAGCATGCCATTTGTGCTTGTCGAGTAGCTGCTTCGGATCGTCTTTCTGGCAAGACCCTCTTTTGCCTATAAGGATTTCACAGTATGCATTCTGACAGGGTTCCCTTGGTAGGCCTTACGATGAAAGAGCCTTTCCAGGCGTTCTGAGGGCCTTACTTGTTCTAGCTGAGGAGCGGCGAACTCCTCGCATCAAAATCTGCACCAAAACGGTGTACACCAACTCTGTTCTGTTATTGTTGCATGCAGCTACTTACACGGCCAGCATTTAGGTCAACAGCCTGAGGGACTCTGCTTCTATCGTGTTCGAGGTAGCTTTTTTGCTCAAGTTCAAGGTGTAGGGGGTTTTAATGCTGAGAGCCTGTTGGGAGGATTTGGGATCTGAGGGCATGGGCCATGGCGCAGGAGGCGAAAAGCTTCGCTCAGGTTCCAGGAAGGATTCTCAGGGGCGAGACTTGTGTTCTGCATGGCGCACCCGAAACTTTCTTTTGTCTACAAGAAGGGAAAGGGCAAGGGCCGGCGGGAGGGGGGGGCATTGTTTTTATTATCAGCATTTTTGTTTGGGTGGGGGGGTGGGGTAGCCATGATTATTATTTTAGGCGCGAGCACAGAGAGCAGGGAGAGGAGCATGGGCAGGGGGGAGGGGGGGGCAGCATGTTTATTCAGTTTTATGTTGTTTTGTTTGGGGGAGGGGAGGGGGTAGTTATTATTAGTACTATCACCATTATTTCAGGTACGAGCACAGAGAGGGGAAGGGCAGGGGCAGGGGGGGGGCAGCATTATTATTTTATTTTTTGTTTGGGTGGGGGGGGGGGGGCATTATCATTATTGTAGGTGCGAGCATATGCAGCCAAGCCCACACGCCGTTTTGGCTCCAGCTGCACCGGCCCGCGAGCGCTCTCGGGCAACATGAAGGCAGCCCTGACCTCGAAGCTGAGCAGAGACTATTGCGGGTTTCTTGAGCCTCGGGCCTAGGGGTGGATAACAAGCGGCGAGGTTCACGACCTTGGTCATGGTTTCGTCTGTGTGCTTGTGCTTGTTAAAGCTATCGTCGTTTGTCGTCATCGCGGTTTGGCACTGTTACAGCAGTGGCCACCGTTCTTGCTGAGACTTCTGTCGTTATCATTGTAGTTTCTCCTAGAAGGTAAATCATTGACGTTTCTGAAATGCATCATGTCAACGTTCGGATATGTTTGGATGCTCTGATCGCTTCGTGGCGTGGGGGTGGTGCGGCAAAGGTTTAACCTGCTTAGATAGCCCAGTGAGACCTGTCCGTTCATGGCAAAGCAGTGCTCGGGAAGTCCAGTGTAAGAGCCCGTAAGGATTGGCGTCCTCCTGGCCCTGCTTGGTACGTCCCTCCTGTGCTGGCCACAGCAGCCGCGACGACTTTTGCACCTTGACAGTTGGGGCAAATGGGAGACAGGGTTCGCTCGTCTTGCATCCTAAAATCGGACAGCATTCCACTCAGCCTACGTCCCACACGCCGATTTGCAGTCCCCCATCGCATCAGCATGTGTCATGGCATTGGCAATGCTGACGGCCAACGTCGCGAATTGGTTATCTTGCGAGTGTAGTCTGGCATGAGCTGGCATGTATTGTCACAACAGCCACTGGATGCGACTATGAATTCTGCCAAGGTGCTTCCATGTAAGTGCCATGTGATCCACAAGCGCAATGAAAGTCTGAAAGCAAGCGTTTGCTTTCAGATGCCTTTCCGATGTCCGCATTAGGACTTTGTCGCTCTCATGGACCTCTTCTCCGCTGGATGCCGGTTGGGTAACTGCGGAAAATCCAGAAGATGACTTCAATAGGCACGGCCTGGGGTCTGAGGTTCGGGTCTCTTGCAAAGTCGCATGCTCTCCAGACCTCATTCACTGGAGCAGAGGCAGCTTCTAGGAACCACGTTGCAGGTGCCTGAACCCTCTCGGTCTCACTCCGCAGGTGGATGTCCAATGCAGGCTTAGCCGCAGCTTCTCAACAGGGTCCTGCATCGCTGCGGGAGCCTTTGCTGCACACCACGTGGAGAGTCCCGTGTAATAGCTTTTGTATGCGTGTGTTGGTCTTGCTTATATATCAATCAAACGGATACAAACTACAAATTCAAACGATCGGCCAGTCAACCTTCGAATCTGTAGTCTTGTGCCTGCCTGCATGCCTGTTGCAACACGTGCTGATGCGCCCATGTGTGTGGGCGAACGGTTGGATACTGCAGATCCTGGCATATACATGCAGCATTGCGGGTCTCGTCGAAGCTTCGTTGTGCATTGACCGACGTGAACCGCAGTTCTGCTGCAGAAGGTAGGACGAGACTTTGTCTACGACTATTACAGTCGTTTGAAAACCTGTAGCTACCATTCAAACTCGATCGAAGCTGGGGCCTTCAGCGAGTGAGGATCGTTTGGCTCTTCGCATCTTGGCCTTTGCTGTAGATGTGCTGCCGCCCTCTGTGCTGCAACTCAGCCGGCAAGCATCATGGGGATGAGTCAGGCAGTGATGCCGTAGCTTCAGCCCGTCTTAGCCAAGGAAGGACTATGCCGACGAGCTCTCACAGGCACAGGGGCCGTTGAAATTTTCAATTCTGAAGTCTCCTTGGCAAGCCACTCCTTCCAGGGACTCCTATTTTCGAGGATACTTCTCGGCTTCGGGCTAGTTCCAGATAACCCAGATTGCCGCCCCTACGTGTTTGGCAGGTCAGTGGAATCGACTTGGCTGCCATGCGTGCCTTGGGCCGCTATACGAAAGCCCGAGCTAGAACAACGATTCAGGAAGAGGTTTCAGGTTTCAAGCCTCTCAGGGTCTTTTGTGCGATGCCAAAGACACGGAAAGGATCTTTCTGCGAAGATCGATGCCTCTGAAATCTGATTGAGTGGGATGCAGCATGACTCTGCAAGGGGGCGCTGCAACTGAATCATGGAACTGTCACGCTTTCAATATCCAAACCACAAATCTGCGATGCTTCACTGCGACGCTCGGAGGGTGAAGGAGCCTTTCACTTCTGACTTTTACCACATCAGGTCGCCAGACATTGAGTTTAAGGTTTTCCTCTGCATAGTCGAAGTCGCTGTGCGGAGTTTTAATCCGAGTCTTGGCCCGGAATGATTTCATGCGAGGCTCGGGATTCTGACTTAGAGTCCCGTCCTTGAGGGCATAGGCTTGGCCAAACAGTCAGAAGGCTTTAAGCACTGGAATACACATTCCCCCAGCCCTTGCTGGGTGCGGTGCCGCACTGCCGGATGAGGCCCCCTGACCCAATCGGAGGAGATGGTCAAGGAGGCCATTGTGAATGTGAGTGAACATAGCCCAAAACACACTAACTACCTGTCCTCCCTCACGGTCGACAGTACCTTCAGCAAAGTAGTCAGAAGCTTTCTTGCATGGAGGCCTTCAGTTGGGTGTGTTTCGAGCTTTTCGACATGGAAACTATCGTCCTTGAAGCACGCGTCCTGTCCTCTCCCTGGGCGCGTGCAACAGATTTGATCGCTGGCCCTTGGCTTCCTTCGGATGGCACGGTCAAAGGCATAGCCTCTGCGTCTGCAACAGGCTGCTCACACTCGCCGCAGCGCCCAGTTTTCTGGCGGAAGACTTCCACATTCGCGTGTGATCTCACTGTATGGCCCTGTATCTGCAGAGGGTAGCTTTACATGACTGGAGAGAAGGCCACCTGCCAATGGCTGCTTGAAAGATACCGCAATGTGTACATTGTCTTGTTGCTTGTTGCCATCTGACGGGATCTCTTTGCCCTCGCTTCCTGTATGATCCTTTGATCCGTTCATAGCCCTCAACTCCCCAAGCCCCAAGTGTCGTAAACCCTAAAATACCACGAGAAAAGGAGTGCGAGTCGAACAGGGCAAAACTCCGAAACAGGGCTCGGCCAGGCTTTGGCGCAGCAAGCAAGCTCTGGCGAGTCCTTAGCGCCGCACAGCAGCAAACTACACGGAGTGTACACGGAAGTTCGAGACCAAAACAGAGCTTACAGAGGGTGCGGGGGTTGTGTTCTCTACGATTTTTCGCCAGGCAAAATCGTTTTGAGTCGAGGCTGATCAGCTTTGTACTGTATTTCGTGGGATGGACCCATTCGGTGCGTAGTTGTGGCTTTCATGCATGTCAGACACTATCACACACTTACACATAGAGATCCGAAGTTTCGATTTGTCTTGGCAAGTTGCGTGGTCCTACCCATACCAGTGGTGTTATGGCTGAGCTTCTCCAGCCTTAAGCTGAAGCTTCTGGACAGGCACCAAAGACACCACGTTGGAAGTCCCCGTCCTTCCCCAATAGCTGCCAGGCCTTTTTGCATGGCATCGCAAAAGCAGCTTTCTCTCGGGCACCATGAAAGCTCCAACGAAGCTTAGCGTCAAACCTTGCCCTGCGCAAATTCGTAACAGTGTGGAGACCAGGCCTAGCCTAGGATATTTTCGGCTTCGGAGGCGCAGGGGCCGTTACTTGGTCCACTGCAGGTCCTCGGGTGGCTACAGCTACTGGGGCTTCCTGCCGTGGCGGGTCCGCAGACAGGAAGCTTGCATCACTCGTCAAGAGTGCGAAGATTCGGACGCAACGGCTGCTGTACCACACTCAAGAGGTTTAGAGGTGTTCGGATGAACTGGTGGCTGTCAGAGCCTATCAAAGCTCATTGTTAAGCTTGCCCTCGCAGCTTGGCTCGAATCTCATCGTTTTTTTCGGGAGCAGGTTTTGCTGAGCCATTGAGAGCTCTGACCGGCCATGTTCTCGTGGTGCCTCGCCGGCACACTTCCCGATGAGTCCAGCCATGAAGGTATCGTAACCGATCTTCCAGAGAAGACCTGCGATGTGTGCGAGACGCACAAAGTGCTGGAGGACAGTGGCGACAGCACCAAAAGCACCGCAGCAAAGGACATCTCCGATCCTACGGCTTCAATGTCCACGGCTGCCTCTTCCTTCGACGAGGGGATCGAGACGGAGGAAGTTGGAGCAACAATAAAGTTATCCTTCAGGACCCCTCAAGATCATACAGTGGATGTGTGTTTTAGCTCCAAACCTTTGTGCTTGCGCTTCTCGAAAAGTATGCCTTTGACTGTCACTGGCATTGGCACGGAATTTTCCGGGAGCGCGCGTGTCCAGACATCGTGGGTGCTGACGCATGTTAATGATGTGCCCATCGACATGGACCGCAGGTACGCAGCCTGCCAGATCAGATTTGCCACCAGATCGCTTCCCTTGAGATGATAAATATTGATTGACCATGACATGGCAGGTTGAAAAGAAGCGGGTCACGGGTGTGAGGAAGGGCTGGTTTTGGCCCTGTGGTTTCGTTATGTTTCGTTAGTGAAAACTTTTACGTTTCTGCATGTTTGTATATGCTCGTACTGGGAGCAGTTCAGCATTCCGCAGTGCTGTGTCTCAGCAGAACCGCTTGAAATTTGATCTCGAATGCTGAACGGTTCTCAGTTTTCGTGGCCAGGCCAGAGCATAGCTGGAATATAGCTGGCCACATACGCCCAGTTTTCGGATAGAAGCCTGCTCGAATGGGAACACGGCGCTGCGCTTCTGTAGAGGCTTGCGGTGCAGATGCGGTGGATATTCGCCATGCTTTGCCCACTCTTTAAGGAGATGTCCAGGCCCGACTCCGCCCAGTAAACTTGGAGCTGTCGGCGAAAGAATTCGAAGATACAGACATGCACTTCCTTTCTGTTTCTGTATGGAACACTAGGGCCACGAGATGCTGCAGACCTTTGAGACTGAAGCTAGCCGTGGTGACGTGAATTTAACGGTGAGAGAACCGAGCGATTCACAGGTGACCGATGGTTGCCGCACTGGAGAAGCCGAGCGCGGCACCGCAAGTTCCAAAACAAAGAAGTTTGTTGGAGCTTTGCTCAACCACATTTACCTCCACCCCAGCTTCCTTCCGACTGCCGCTACAGCACGCACCAGGTGTTCTGAATCAATCCCTCTCAAGCCGAGGAAGTTCGTGGACCGCGTCTTTCCCAACAAGACGGGCGTGACTTGGTCGTCGCGCTGCTGGCGCCAGGCCTTTTGTGGATTGCGGTTCGACTTCGGTAAGGGTCCAAATGTCTGCATTGACAATCATATTTATTTGTACCTAAGCAGGAGATGTCGTCCAGCAGCAGGAACAGCGGTGGAGCACTAGCTGGTAGCAGTAGTAGCAGCTGTACGGCAGCAGCAGCAGCAGCAGCCTTTAGCAGCAGCCGTGGCAGCAGCAGCAGGAGCAGCAGGAGCAGAAGGAGCAGGAGGAGCAGGAGGAGCAGGAGGAGCAGGAGGAGCAGGAGAAGCAGGAGGAGCAGTTGCAGAAGCAGTTGCGGGAGCAGGAAGAGTAGTAGTAGTAGTAGTAGTAGTAGTAGTAGTAGTAGTAGTAGTAGTAGTAGTAGTAGTAGTAGTAGTAGTAGTAGTAGTAGTAGTAGTAGTAGTAGTAGCAGCAGCAGCAGCAGCAGCAGCAGCAGCAGCAGCAGCAGCAGCAGCAGCAGTAGTCGTAAGTACTGGTCGTGGTAGTAGTCGTGGTCGTGCTGGTGCTGGTGCTGGTGCTAGTGGTAGTAGTTGTTGTTGCTGTCGTTGTTGTCGTGTTGGTAGTAGTAGGAGAGGAGCAACAGCAGCAATTACCGAGTAGCAGCAGAGAAGCGCAGAGCGGCGGTAGCAGGAGAAGCTGCTCTGTTTTCAGTAGCAGCGGAACGCTAGTTGAAACACAGAATCCCTACCCGCGCCCGGTTTCGATTCGGGGATGCGCTTTCCAGAACGACCTTTGCCCGGCAATCGGTGAGAAGCTGCGCCAGCGCAGCGTGTAATTTTGCGAGTTCCCTTTGCATGATGCACTGGTGCAGATCACCGCATCGACGGTCAAGTCAAATGGCGGCTGGGTCTTGCGGGTGAAGGTGTCGAAAGCGAAGCATGTGCCACTTGTTGAAAAGCCAGGTTGGCAGTTTGGATGTGCGCTTAAGATGACATGGAGCAGTAGGACGGGCATGGCAGAGGATAGTTGCAGCCCTGCGCCCGGGCGAAGGCCGAGCGCAAATGCTTTGTTTCGCAATTGTCCATGCATCGTTGTCTGTACCTGGATCGTGAATTAGTTGACTGCAGCAGGGAGCAAGCTAAGCAGTTTGGATGCTGCTGAGTTTGGTCAATGCTGCCGAGTCGTGTTTGGGAGTTATCGTATCAAGTTCTTTATTTGTTGTGGACCCTTCAGTCTGGCTCGTCTGGTCTCAAATGCCCAATGCCCTTCAACAAGCTCATCGGATCGGGTGGCTTAGGCAGGTGGGCATCGGCATTGATCAGGTGAGCAGCTGAAGTCACACGTCGAGGCATGTGGTGCTGCTACAATCACACATGCTACCCAGCCTGCCGTAACCCAGCGGCACTTTTGTTGCGATGCAGAGCATTCGTGAAACCAAGGCTGTGCAACGAGATTTTCGGCTTCTTCACTGGCGCACACTTTCGTGTCGGATCATTCCCGGCACCCATCGGAGGGACCAAGACCTTCAACTTTGACAGTGCAAAGTCCCGTAGCCGCGATTTTTCGTTGTTCATCTATACTACCACGGGCGTCGGCAATGGGGCAGGGATGCACCCCAAACGGTCCATCTCAGGAAGGACTAGGCAAGTCTGTCTGCTTCAGTTTTCCCTGGAACTTGCATCACTCTCAAAGGACGACTCTCTACACGTGCTCCCAAGGTTGACAGACAGCCAGATTTGGGACGTGGAGACCCTCGGTATCCGGGTGTTTACCTTCCAGGAAAATCCATTGGCAACCGTCAGGAACATCTTGGAGACTGCACTCCTTTTCGTCCCGGATCAAACACGAGGCAAGTGTGCCACGAAAAGAGACGAGCGAGAGTTGAGTGGAGCAATTGGGAATAGGAGCTTGCCGAACTGCAGGGTTCAAGATCGTAGCATTGTTATTGCAAACCTGAGTCCTGGCTTTATCATGTCAAACCCGGAGGTGTCGAGTCATACTTCGCCAAGCGGAACGTAGAGTTCCTCCGCAACTATGTGGGTGCAAGCCTGAAGCCTCGGAAGGATCCGGGAGGTCTACTGCTTCATGCATCAGTGGCTTGGCAGCAGAGTTTGCATCTGGTGACCAAGTTGCGGACATGCGCACAACCACGTGCACATGCTAGCGCAGGGCCAGGGACACAGATGTATGGAGACAGAACTTAATCCTAAACTGTCAAGGCCTCATGCTGTTCCCGGACCGCGCACAGCTAACTGTTCTGTACATGCCCATATCTAAGTCAGCATGTTTTTTTGGGCACTCGGCTTGATGCAGCTAGTGTCGCTACTCCAAAGGGCTGGCTGAAACTTGACCAGCGCATACAAGGACCCACCTAAACGCTAGACGGAGGACGAAGTGCCAGATGCAGGCATCGTCATCCCCACAGTCAGTTTGCAGCACCCTCGAACCGAACCACAGTCGAGGTTTGTTTCTTGGCCGTCTCAGATGTATCTGCTCAAGAAGGCTTTGCAAACTTAACATACACAGCAGTGACTTAGTACCCTCATAGTAACCCTTTCAGGGTTTAGGGTTTAGAGTAACTTATCCCTCACAGTAGCCCTGGGAGGATGTGAAACCCCTGGGAGTTGCTCAGGACATCCGCTCCGGGGACTTCCTCGGCGTTCTGCGGCTGGATGGCTTGGATCCGATGCTCGCCTGGGGCAACCTGGAGTCGTATAGCGTCCTTACGGTACCCCTCGTAGTACCCCGTAATGGTAGCCTTATACTGCCCTCAAGTAAACTTATGTTATAGCCTTACCCACAGGAAGACACGAGGTCTTACGCTGACACACAGTAGCAACTCCATGTAACTGGCATCCCAGCAACTGCAGGTGGCCAGCAAGCGACCCACCCTGCCCACCTCCGACGAATGAGTGATTCATCCAACTTTCGAGCTAACCAGCGGAGACACTATCTATCAGTTTTGGCTGTCCCAGAGCTCCGGTTCTAGTGCCCTGACCAAAAGCGATGGTTAGAAACATACACACTTTAGGGTTTAGGGTTCAGGGATATATGAATGTAATCTAACACACACACACACACACACACACACACACACACACACACACTTTCAGGATGGTTCAGGCCAGTTTTATCCAGAGCATGGCAGGGGCAAAAGCGAAAAGACAAGGCGCCTCCCCATTGAACGGGGCTTTCCTTTTCAGCCTTTGGGCTCTTTGCCAAAGCAGAATTTTCTAGGAAAGTTGGACGCCAGAGCTACCAGATCAGCATTAGCCGTTTATGCTTCGGCTGTCGAGGTATGGGCTCGCACACTGGACACACAGCCGTGGCCATCTGGGAGCATGGGCAGCTGTATGTGGCAGAAAGCACCATCAACAGCTCCTACTGGCGTTTCGTCACGGATTGGTTTTGAAATTTGGTATTGGGGCTCGGTGGCAGAAACGTGCAACGTAGCTGCCCAGGCCGACGAACGGTATTCAGCGCACGCCTTACCAGCAGTGGATAGAGCAGGCACGTGCTCGGAGGGGTCTTGGCCTTGGAGTCGAAGTTGCCCCACTTGCACCCTGTTGCGGCGAAGTTTGTATGCCGACGCTCTCTCGAAAGTCTCGGCCGTGATGCCAGGCACGTGCAGCAGGTTATTCCACAGTTCATGCGCCTTTGAAGGAGGAGTATCGTGACGGAGCTGCAGACGAGTTTTTGCCTTCTCATCGAAGTCGTGAAGTAGTTGCTGAACATATGGTCCTTCTGAAAAACGCAAGCGGCAAATTAGACACAGAATAAGAACACAAACCTAGGCTCGGCCCATGTAGTCGGAGATCAAGAATGGCGAGCATCACCAAAAGGTAGAACGAGTAAGAATGAGTGATCAGAGCATATACAATGACAGAGCCAGAAGAGCAAAGCGAACACTGAGAGTATGACGAGGCTGATGAAAGAGACGAGCGACAGCAGTACCCAAAGCCACGCCAGGAACTTCGATATTGTAGTAGAACGCATACTGATGGATGAGAGATTTAGTAAAATCAGCAGCAGCGATGCCCGCAGCCCCGTGGATAACAGCATCCGCAACAAAGACCGTGTGAAGTTTGCTGTGCTTTGGTTAAGAACGCCAGCGGCATCAGCAGTGGTTCATATTAGTCAAAGATGGGAAGCAAAATTGCACCACCAGGTCACTGATTCCGATCGAAGGGCATTGCAATAATCGGCTAGTTATACAGTAATCACGAAAGCAGCAACAGCTGCCAAAGATCCCAGGCAGCACCTTCGACGAGAGCACAGGGCTCAGCGACAGGATGTTGAGTTGGCCTCCCTTCCAACTAGCATGCTTTGGAACGAAGCATGTAGGTTTTGCGTCGGAGGTCTAAGCCCATCTGAGTCTCTGATTACAGGCATTATGTATGCGAAGCCAGGTAGCCAGGAATCACCCACAAGCGGGAAGGGGGAGTGGAGTCACAGCGTTGCTGTTAAGAAGCTAGGCTAGAGTTGAGTGTCCTGGCTGGGTTCAGAGTTCCGTGGATGTTTGATGTCAGGCGGGGCCAACGCATTCTTCCACAAGTACGAAGGCGCTGAGCCTAGAGCAGCACGGCAAACAGGGCGGGGCACGGGGAGGTCAGGTCAGATGCATGACTGCCTTGCTGCTGCGGGTGCCTCATGCTGGTAGAGTCTGCGCGGTTGAGGGTTGTGAGGGGAGTCGAAAAAGCCCGAAGTCCGGATTTGTGCATTTCAATCGCGATCACAAGTGCTGTGAAGCCCAAATGTCATGTGAATCTCTACCCAACGCGAAACTCTGCCATCCTGATGAGTTTCCAGCTCGTAAAACCCTCCTCCCTGCAGATTCCTGCTGTGAATCTGACGTCGGCTGCACTCGATTTCGGCAGGTCTGGAATATGGCTACCACGCAATGCTCACAGGATGGATCGATACCCTCAGGAACAACTATCCGCACTCCGGCCGCATTCTGCCTTGTTGGGCACGCTTTTAATGTTTGGATGTTTCGGGTCCCGGATTATGAGCTTGGGAATTCAGACGATCGTCTTTGCTTCGATGTTCATGGACACTTCCGGAACTGCACCATGTTCCGTCATGTAGAAAGCTTTCCATTTCCAGCATCAGGGGCTTGTGAAGCGATGAGCCGCTTCTGAAGACCTGTTGGGCAAGAGAGGTGCAAGCCGCCCTATGACACTCCGGAAGATGAGAAGCAGTGTCTCACTTGGGAATTCATTGAGGCCAGCCGCTGCTGCAGCTTTACTATTTGTTTGTTTCAAGCCCCGCCAGGATGACCCCTGTTGAATGGTTCGGAAGGGCATTTTGATGGCTTCCCCCAGCATGAGCAGCGTTTCGGCCTCGCAATCAGCAATAAAGTCGGCTCCGTTCAAGTACGTGCGTGCCAACTCCAGCTGCACCCAGCTATTCCGTAAAGCAACGCCTAGGCTCTAGTTCTCAGGCCAGGACGCTGAACCGGGATAGCGTCCGAACTTCCGAAGCGCTGGAGCCGAAGATTCCTGCGCACCCTTAACCTGTGGTCTTAGGGCTTTGGGGTTCTGTACGGGAACGACATCGACTCAGGGGCTCCAGGTCCATGCTACCAGGGCACTTTGGGCTCATTTCTTTGTTCAGAGTCTGGCGACTTTCCGCCCAAGCAGGTCGCCGTCCCAATCATCACACGGTACATCCCCACGCTAGAGAAGCCCTTCCTGCTCACCTGGATCCTCGTCTGCGGAAGGAGAGAAGGAGCCGCGTTGCGTGCCTCCTCTTTTTTGCATCCGCTGTTTTGAGCAGAGACGGTCTGGCATACTTCAGCTGCTGCTTCAAAGGATAGGAATTTTGCAGCTGAGATGGTGGGGTGTCGGGCCTTATGTGTCAGCCTCAGTAAGATGCGCCTTCGGCGCCTTCTCCAAAGCCCCGAAGCCTCAAACCCGCCCCCTCAACACCAAACCGCGAATCCTTTCTGTTCACCTTGACCATGACCCTAAAACCACAAAGCCCCAAGACCCTAAAACCCTAAAACCCCAAAAAAGCCCAAAACCCTAAAATCCTAAAACCACCAAAACCCCCAAACCCCAACACCCCAAACACCCCAAACACCCCAAAACCCTAAAATCTAAAACTTCCAAAATCCCAAAACCCCAAACCCTAAAACCCTACACCCAGCCTTCGCCTAGGAATCAGCACGTGACCGGATCTTCCTTCAGTAATCTCTCGGCCACGGAGCTCTACCGTCAAGCCACGTCCAAGGGGATGGAGCAGCTTGGCCCAGGGTTTAGGGTTTTAGGGTTTTGGGGGTCTAGGGTTTTTGGGGTTTTAGAGTTTTGGGGCTTTGGGGTTTTAGGGGTTTTGGGTTTTAGGTTTTTAGGGGTTTGGGGTTTTGGGGTTTTGGGGTTTTAGGGTTTTAGGGTTCAGGGTTTTAGGGTTTTGGGGTTTTAGGGTTTTAGGGTTTTGGGGGTTTGGGGTTGTAGGGTTTTAGGGTTTTTGGGGTTTTGGGGTTTTGGGTTTTTTCTGGTTTTGGGGTTTTTGGGGTTTTGGGGTTTTGGGTTTGTTCGGGTTTTGGGGTTTTAGGGTTTTAGGGTTTTGGGGTTTTAGGGTTTTGGGGTTTTAGGGTTTTGGATTTTTAGGATTTTGGGGTTTTCTGGTTTTAGGGTTTTGGTGTTTCAGGGTTTTGATGTTTTTGGGGTTTTAGGGTTCTAGGGTTTTAGGGGTGTTTGGGGTTTTAGGGTTGTAGGGTTTAGGGTTTAGGGTTTATCGGTGTTGAGGCTTCAGTCAGCCATATCCACTTCTGGGGATCATGCCTTGTAGCCCTTAGTTGTCAGGGTGCTCGTCCTAGTCTCTGGCGCTCCTCGGGCCACTTACCCGAACAATTTGTAGCCCTCAGCCCTAAACCCCGACTCCGAGGTTGGCTAAAATCCCGGCAGTGCCAGAGCCGGATGGGATCCTCTATCCGTCGGTCTTCAACAACGGGACCCGGGCAGCCTCGATTGCCATGGCTTCTTGACGCAACCACCAAGTCAGGTGTAGACAAAGAATGGAGGGTATGGGCCGATCAGGGGCTGGCGGGGCCCTGTGAACTAACTGCTTTTGGGCAGCCTGCCAGGTTTGCGATGTCTTCGTTTGTTCCATGTGGAAAGCTGGCGGCGTCTTCAAAGCGATTGACAACGACTTCAGCACCTCGGTTATAAGGGCCAAGATACGGAAGAATTCAGGCTTTGTGCTGTTGCTGCCCGGTGTTCGCCCTATGTGGACGCTGCAATCACTTGGGTTCAGGCTGTATCGAGCAGACGAACGTTGAACCGCAGCTGCAAAGAAGCGGGCGATCTGAGAGTGCAAGGGATGCTGCTGAATAGCGACAGTAGCTCATGGCAGCCAGAGCACAGGCCAGGCACAGTCAAGCCCAGACTCGGTCGAAACCCAGGATGTCTATGATCTGAACGTCTTAGAGGCCCCATCGGCCCGGAAAGATGCCTGCGTGCACGCAGACCCGGAGAACCCGCTATGCCAGTTGAAGCTCGGCTTTTCACAGGTCAGTCCTTTGAGAAGGTGCGGGTTCCACTTGCCGGCTCAATTCCTTCTTTGAAGACTTTTTCATCGTTTCTGGGCGACGGCATCTGTCCGCTCATTGCTGTCGACCTGAGAGCGGTTGTTCGGATGACGACTCCCAAAGTCCAAAGTGTATCTGTTTTTCTGCGGTTTCACACCTCAAGGCTTGAAGGACTTCAAGGCTTATGCCTCCGGGCTATAAGTCATGTGACGGTCTAGATTTTTGGACAAGGGTTAGCTGCGTTGGCGTCTTTGTCTCTGTTTGTGCGTGTAGGGACTGCCTGAACCAGCCATGGCAGACCCCAAACCCCGGCAACCATTCGGACGCAGGCAGAGAATGGCAGAGATGTAAAGGCCCCGCACAACACTCGTCAGATATCGCAATGCTCCGCCATGTGTAGCTAAAGCCTACACAGGTCGGCCCCGGCACTAGGCTTCCTGCATCTGGGCCGTTTGCTGCTCGAAAAGGCCCAACACTGTACTCCCATTTACGAGCATGAAGTCGCAACTGCAATGACCGAAGCATAGTGCGGACAACAGGCATCCGAAGCAAAACCACAGGTGGGGGCCGAGGCACCGTGTGTCCCGCCCCTTCAGAATCTCCGGAACCTGAGGACTGGCGTCTACGGGCTCGAGCTGCCAAAGTTAGGCACGCGACCCATGTACAGGCACATGCACCTTGGCAGCCCTGTTCCTGGTTTTACCATGATCGCGTCTGCATTGGCTTATGTTGGGTTGCCACGGTTTTCAATGTGCCGGACAGGATGTTCGATTTGTTCTTGCTCTCAAGCATCCTGTCGAGGACGTCTGCGATGTCGTTGCGGGAACCTTGTTT